GGGGGTTGTTTTTTGTTTGTTTTGGGGGGCGGGTGTTGTTTGTTGTTGTTTGTTTTTTTGGTCAAAATTCAAATTCTTAATGTTACGAAAACCGAGGGTAAACCCCATAATCTAGGTACAGTTGTTACAATAAGAGTGAAACAGTTGGGGTTTTTAAAAAATCCTCTCTCTTTCCTGGAAAATTTTGCTGTTTTGGTTTAAAATGTTAGAACCACTTATCAATGACTATCATCATCATCATCCGGTGCCTTGCTGACTGGCGTGGGCGATCATGGACCTCCACTTCCCTCTGTCTTACGTTGCAGCAATGGTGTTTGATGTTCTTGCTGTTCCCAGCCATGTTCTTTACTTGTCTAGTATTTTTTCCCTCTGTCTGTCTCTGTCTCCCTTTCCATCAAACTTGCCTGCTGTTACAATATTCTCCTATGCTTCTTTCCACATTGGGTTTAGGCTCTCGGACTCGCAACCGTAAGGTCGTGGGTTCAAATCCCGTCAGGGGCCCGACGTTGTGTTGTGTGCAGTTTGAGTGAAGAGAAGAACATTGATGATATTGACACATTAGGAGAGCAGTCAACGCCACGCTTGTATGTTTCTGGCTACCTTCCTCTACCCTCGGCACATCCAACCCCTGGGTGACTGCCTCATTCCTGATCATGCTTGTGTTACGGCCAGTTAGTCTACCTCTTCTTCTTTTCTATTCAGTCTCCAGCGTTGTGTTGACATCTTTAATCCCTGCTCTTTCCAAATGTTTTTATTTGTCATAAATTCATTCAATTTCATAAATAAAATTCTTGGAAGACAATTTGTGTGAAAGCTTAACATTTTTTTTGGAATAGCCTTGTTTGTTTTCCACATCTCTGAACCACGCATCAATAACGCTAAAACATTGCTATTATAAATCTTAAATTTTGTCTTCAGTGAGATGATCTTTGAATTCTGAGTTATCTTCGTCATAAAATTGGAAACTCTTGAAAAGATTTTAAAAAGGAAAAGAATGGAAATTTTAAAAAAATCCTTATGTATAATTTTCACTTGATGGAAACAGTTCATTTTGATAGCACAAAAAAGATCCTATAGAAAATTAGATCTAATCTACTGTTCTGACAGAAAGGAAAACAAGTGAAAGAATGGAAATTTCTAGAAAATCATCAAAACTTGTGTAAAAGTTGCACTAGATGTTTTCACTAGATGCAAACAGTTCATTTTGAAAGCACAAAAAGGATTCTGTGGAAAATAACTGTTCTGACAGACAGGAAGGAAAAGCTACCAATGAAAATGTCTCCGTCTGCTGTTCCATTCTCCATGAACTTTTCACCAGTGTGTTCTACTTTGATCAGTGTCTGGTCAAGTGGCCGTCCAATGGGAACCTGGCTGCCTCCGTCTCTGAAACATGAACAGTCACTTGAGATGCAAAGTGTCCATGATACCAAGTTTATTATTTCATAAAAAGGGGGGAAATAAATAAACATTCCCCCCTCTGAAATATTGTGTTGAAATTCTCTGAAATATTGTGTTGAAATTTTAAAGCTTGTCAACATGAAGTACAGAAAACTGGCACTAGGCAACTGGATCTCAACAGCTATGAGTTATCTGTGCTCACCTCTACCTTTATTCCTTCTTTATTGGTATATATGCAGTGCAACTATCAATAATATCAATTTTACAGGCTCTAAAACACGAACATACTGACAAGATCTTTCGCTCTCTATGGCTGGGTACCCATTACCATCTAGGCGAAGTGACGAAAATTCTTATAAAACGCCTTTTGCGAGGACGCAACATTGGACCTGAGCCTCCAACCATCGAACTCACAACCTCAAGATTACGAGTCCGGTAGCCTAACCACTAGGCTACCGACATCACATACGTATACATGAAATGTTAAGTAAGGGATTATTCAGGGAGTAGGTATTGCTTGTTGGTAGTGACAATACAGCTGACCGTATGAAGGATTCTCCTCTGAATGAAACGGCTGCAAAGTTACATCAAAGAGTCTACATAACAAGAGGGGCCACTTCTCTCTTTGAGCCAATTAAAAAAGTGTCCTCAAAATTCGGTGGCGCCCTCTTC